TTGTACTATTAGAAGTCTGTGTTGCTGTTGTCTTGTGCTTTGGACACCTGAGAAATACTCATTGGAACTTTGTCTCAGCCACCTATTAGAACTGCAGATTGATATTTTGGCATCATTTCTGACAAACTCTAAGAAAATGACTGTCATAATACTAGAGCCCCAAGAGACCTGGTTTGCTCAGATGAATGACTTCCACAGGGAACTGAGCCGGGTACTGGGACAGTGCCTTAGTGTAGTCCATCTGTTCAGGGCTTTGGGATCTCCTGCCACTCTGCATTACATTTCTCTCCTGCATTCTTCTGTTGACAGGCTTTTGTTTTCAATAGTGGGGAAAGGAGGTTTGGAGTCTATAATAAAATTTTTCCGTCTTCAAAGAAAAATGCAATACATATATATTTTTTTACTTGTACTGAGGCTCCGTCTTGAGTCCCAGGGCAATGGAGCATGCAGCTGAAGGCCTGTGGCTGTCAGCTCTGTCAGAAGCCCTGGTGTGGTGTTGCCTAGAAGTTTGATCTGTGATAATTTCTAGCTGACGGTGATCCGCAACATGCATCTTCTCTAGTTTTTCCCCAACAGAATAAAACTCCTAGTTCTCCTGCTTACCATGTCTTTGTAGTAATTTTCACTCTTAGACCACACTATTATCTCTTTAATCTAGTTAATTGCATTGAAAGACATGAAACAAAGGTGAAGGAGGAGTACTGAGAAAAGATATACAAACTTTTGTATCCTTTTTGAAATTATAATTAGATTCATTCTTTTCTCCTTTTGAATTAGTAACTGCTCTTTTTTAATTTATAAAAACTGCTAGATAATTCAGTTGTACACTTAAGACCCAAAAATAACAAAAAAATTGATGTTTTAAAGCTTTGTGCTCTATGTGACACTAATTTGTTTGTACCTATTTACATGCAAAGTAGCTCACAGATACTAATCTGATTTCCTTCTAATGTATATTATCTGACGATATCACCATAGAAATAAAAATAGCCCCCCCCCCTTTTTTTTTTGGTTCTCTATTTAAAGTTAATCAGAGTGACTGGGCATGGTGGCACACACTTGTAATCTCAGCACTTGAGAGGTTGAGATGGTAGGATTGCTATGAGTTCAAGGGCAGCCTGGGCAACATAATGAGTTCTAGACCAGCCTGAACTGCATAGCAAGACCCTGTCTCAAAACAAAGAAACAGACATAAGTAATAAAGTTAGAATATATTTTTTGTTTTGTTTTGTTCTGTTTTTGTCTTTTTTCTTTTTATCGGTACCGGGGATCGAACTCACGACTGCCTGCTTCCAAGGCAGGCGCTTATGCCACTGAGCTAAACCTCCAGCCCCAATTAGAGTATATTTTAAGTGATTTTTTTTTGCACTTGGCAGGTGGTTGGGTATTTATAGGCTTTTCTTTCTTACTGCTACCTATCTGGTGACTTTAAATCTTGAAGCATTAGATCCTCCCACAGTAAGTTAATAGGTTTTGTTTTTCTTGCAATATTGGGAATTGAACCCAGGGTCTTTGAGCCTTTTTTTTTCCTTGAGTGATGCACTGAGGGGGTAAATGGCAAATGCTGAGTTTGAACTTATACTCATTCTTCTTAGCATCATGCTAGGATTAAAGTGTGAACCCCTGTACTCAGTCTAATTGCTTTTTAAAGATAAAAGTCTGGAGAGTTTTTCTTTTTGTCTTTTGAGATAGGATCTCACTAATGTAGTTCAGGCTGGTTTTGAGCTCACTGTGTAGCAGAGGCTGTCCTCAAACTTGTGACAATTCTCCTGCTTCACCCTCCCAAGTGCTGGCATTACAGGCATATGCCACCCTGCCTGATTTAGTTTGGGGATATTTTGCTTATTTGATTGTTGTTGGGTTTTTGTTTGTTCATTCATTTGTTTGTTTGTTTGTTTTTGTACTGGGGATCAAACTCATGACCTTGTGCTTGCCACACAGACACTTATGCCACTGAACTAAATCCTGGCTGGTTTTTGTGTTTTGAAACAGGATCTCACTACGTATTTCAGACTGGCCTAGAATTCACTATGTAACCAAGACTGGCCTTAAACTCAAGGTGCTCCTCCTGCCTCAGTCTTTCAAGTGCTGGGGTTATAAGATATGTACCACCATGTCCCACCTGAGATCTTTATATAGCCTTTTTCATAATTGTAAAACCAGACAGAGCTGAGTTTGCTTTTTGTCTGCTCTTTTTCCTTTAGTGTGACTTCGAGTCAATTAATCTATGTCTCTTTAAAAAATCCATGTCTCTATTCTCTTTTCTGTAAAAAGAGGATAAGGCTAGTTCTGTCTTCATAGGTTTGTTGTGAGAAATAAGTAAGAGAAAATCTAAAAACTGTTTGCATAGAGCCCCATACAAAGGAAACACTTAAATATTAGCTTTCATTGTTATAGACCAGATGATATTTGAGACTGAGCCTGGCTGTTCCGATAAATCTGTTGAGAAAAACAGTCAACCATATTAGGTCCATAGGTTCTACTTTGTTGACTCCTATTCACAACTAATAGAACTAACTTGTGCAAAAAAGAACAGAAAATATTGTGAATTTAGCACAGGCCTGTTAAGTAGATTTTGAAGAGAAATTGAGGTTGATTTAAAATTTTAATTTACAACCTCAGACACTTAAAAATCTCAGTATTTGAAATGTATTCTACTCAGTTTATAACAAAATTCTTGATACTCAGGAACTATCAGAAACAGACATTTGTAGATCCATTAATACATGTTAGTGGAGAGCATCCGAAAACATACTTTTCCTTCCCAGCTTAAACACTATATAAAGAATAATCTAGGGCTAGGGATATCGCTTAGTGGTAGAGTAATTGCTTTGTTTATTTAAGGCTCTGGGTTTAACCCCCAGTTCTACAAACACAGCAACAAAAATACCTTAATTTTAGCTAGGATGTAGTAGTGCATGCCTATCATCCCCACACATGGGAGGCTGAGTCAGGAGGATCTCAGCAAGTTTGAAGCCACCCTCGATAACATAGTGATTTAAAGGCCAGCCTGAACTGGATAGTGAGATCCTGTCTCAAAACAAAACAAAAAATAACTTTGAAAAAATCTGTTGTATTTTTTTTTTTTTTAAATCTTTCTAGTATATGTTACAATTTTGTGGGTCAAGAATTAGACCCCGGGGCTAGGGATTTAGCTCAGCTGCATAAGCGCCTGCCTTGCAAGCAGGCAGTCATGAGTTCGATCCCTGGTACTGATTAAAAAAAAAAGAAAGAAAGAAAGAAAGAGACCCGAAGCCAGGGGTAAAGCTCAGCAGCACAGCGCCTGCTGGCAAATACAAGGCCCTGAGTTAGTTTTCTTTCATTCTTTCTTTTCTGTCTTTTCTTTCTTTCTCTTTTCTCAGTTTGATTTCTGGTATAAAAAAAGAAAAAAGACAGACAGACAAGAAGTAGACCCAGCTTATGTTGGTGATTGCTCTACATGTTAACACCTGGAGATCTGGAGTCCTACTGGGGTTTCTATTTAATGAGTGGGCTGCATGGACCATATAAGAGGACTTTCATGGGTCTTACAGGGAGGTTGAGTTCAGTTGAGCCTGTCTTACACCTGGCCTTTACTACTTTTTTGTCTGTCTGTCTGTCTTTCTGTGTATCTTACCTATCTTTTTTTGGCTTTTTGAAACTGGGTCTTGCTATGTACTTCAGACTGGCTCTGAACTCACTGTGTAGCCCAAACTGGCCTCGAGTTTGTGGCACTCCTCCTGCCTTAGCCTCCCAAGTACTGGGTTTATAGTTGTGCACCACCACATCCAGACCATTTAAAAAAAATGATAGGACATTTTCATTATGAATCTCAGTTCTTGTAATATGTTGATGCCATCAGCTCTTTCTGGGGTATGTAGAACTACTGCTTATACACCCATACTGCTATGCTTTAAGCGTGGTGAGGTTGTTTGTTTGTTTGTTTAAAATGTTGGTTCTCAACAGGATTCTGGGGCACTGGCTGCATAGGTATAGGACATCCCAAATAAGGACATCTTACTGTATTGGGCATCTCATTTACTATATATAAACTGCCTTGCTGGCCACCACTAACGGCCATTAAGAAACTTAAAATATGCCTTAAAAAAGAAAATCTTGTCGTATATAATAGCAGGGATGAACCTAGAGGGCTTTACACTAAGTAGGGTAAATCAGTCACACAAGAACAAGTACAAGGTATCTGAAATAGACTGTTAGAGAATGTAATGATTATTGCTAGAACATATGGGGAGAAATGGGAAATTGTTATTCAATGGGTAGTTTTGGTTGTACAGGAAGTGTTTTTCTTTAGCTTCCCCCTATCCCCTCGCTCATTCTTGATGAGCCAGTGGGTGTTGGGAAGCAGAGAGTATGGGAACAGATGAGTTAGATTGGTGACTACAGGGGAAACAGGGGAGTAGGCTTGACCTGTAGTGAAGTTTTTGTGACAGTCCCATTTTGCATGTGTATTGGGAGTGACTCATGCTGTGGCAGCTGAAACTCCTCAGGTGATTCTTCTTCACTGTCAATTAGAGGGTCATGTGCTTGTACCCCTATGTCCCTGTCACCTCCAGGTCTTGGAGTCTTTTGAGTGGCCTTTTTTTTCACTTTACCATTATCATCCTGCTATTTCTCTCTCTTCTGTCAGCATATTGTTTTTTTCCTTGAGTTAGGTATCTGGCCTTTACTACTGAAGGTGTCTGGTTTCTATGTTTTTTTGTTTTTGTTTTTGTCTTTTTCATTTTTATCGGTACCGGAGATCGAACTCACGACCGTACACTTGCAAGGCAGGTGCTTATGCCGCTGAGCTAAATCCCCAGCCCCTAGCCTATTGTTAGTTCTGATACTGTAATGGTATTTTTGGCCTGAATGTCTTTCCATCATACTTCTATGTATATAGTAAAGCTCTCCAACCCCTGACTATTGATGGGGTACAGTACCTAATTCATTGTTACGAGGATAAAGTACTCAAGGGACATTAGGTATTAGTAGATAACCATCTTCCAAATTTCCTTTTCTAGAAACTGATTCAGCAGTGCAGAAAGAACATAGAAACCAGACACCTGCTCCAGCTACAGCTCAGACTTCGGCTCCCTCTAAATACCACCGAACTCGCTCCGGAGGAGCCAGGGATGAACGATACCGATCAGGTGAGAAGCACCTACAAAATTACCAAAGAGTTTTTACTGACTGCGTGGGGGACTGTGTGTCTCCTGAGAGCTTCTATGGTTGTCTTTAGTTTTTTCCCTAGAGGCACCTAAAGTCTGTGTTAATTTATCCATTGATTATATATTTAGTTCTTACTATGTAGCAAGGGTGGTAGATGCTCACTGTTTTTTGGCAACCCAGCAGCAAATGAGATCATTTCTGCCATCAACAAACTACAGAAAAAGCAGGCCAGAGCAAAGGCAATATGAATATATAAATGGAAGCTGAGGTCACTGGGATTTACTGGGAGGGCCCAGTAGACTCTTGGAGGAGGCAAGTCCTTCTGTGCTTGCCGACCTGTTTTTGTTTGTTTGAAGCCAAGGTTTTGCTGTTCTCAGTCCAATTTGAAATTGTGATATCTTGCCTCAGCCTCCGAGGTAGCTAGGAATATAGGCATGCATACTTCTGTGTCTGGCTGTAGAGGTGTTAACAAAGTATTTCCTTACTCAGTGGAGCTAGAACAAAAACTCAAAATGAAATTTTAAATTAGTGAATGCTATTTTATTTTTTGTGGCTCAGAAAGTACTTGTTTGGAAGAGAAAGGCAAGATGCTATGCCTGGCAGAGGGAGCATATTCTACTTGCACTGTGTCCAGACCCACTCAGCTACTAGGCATGGTGTCACATGCTGTAATTCCAGTACTCAGGAGGCTGAGGCAGGAGGACTGCTGCAAGTTCAACACCGGCCTAGACTGCTTAATGAAACCCTGTGTCACTAAAACAAAAAACAAAACTACTCAGCTATCAGTACCAGATGTACCACTCTGATTAGAAGACAAACAAATCACAGAGCCCAGTAGGACATGGGGCATAACATGCCCTTCTGATACACATTTACCATCTGCTGTGCTGAGTAGTCTCTGCACTACATATTGTACTTCAAGTGGCAGAGTTCAGATGAATATTACTCTGCTTTCTTCAGATTTTGCCTCCCTTTCATATCATCTTTTCTTTTAAAAAACAATTATGGTGGGGCCTGACAGGCACAAGCTCCTGAGTTCGATTCCCCCACATCTCCCGAGAAAATTATGGTTCCAGGAATTTGAATGTAGGGCCTCTTGCATGCTAGGAAAGTTCCATATCCAATGAGCTGCAACCACAGTTCACCTTAGCTTTTTCTTTCTTGAATTAAAAAATAGGAAAGAGGAAGAAAGAAAAAGGAAAACAAACAAACAAACAAAAAGGAAAACACTAAGGGAAGCTCCTCATCCGAGTGACTTTACCTAGTAGTTAAAATGAGTGTGGCACAGAAATTGGCATACAGCCTATTGGACTAGATTGACAATTTAAGAAATGGACTAAGGACAACCCACTCGGGACCTCTTCTGTCTCTCTCTCTCAGATGAAAGCTTTCTTTCTTTCAATAAACATTCTGCTCTAAAAAAAAAAAAATGAACCAAAATACTCGTGGAATTTAGTACATGATATAGGTGGCATTGCATATCAGGACAGAAGAAAAAAATTTTTTTGGTACTGGGAATCAAACTCAGGATCTTGCACACACACACACACACACACACAGTACCAGGGATTGAACTCATGACTGCGAGCTTGCACGGCAGGTGCTTATGCCACTGAGCTAAATCCCCAGCCCCTAAAAATATATTTTTAATAAATGGTCCTATAAGTTAGTTTGTGGTGGCACATGCCTATAATCATAGCTACTTAGGCTGCGGCTAGCCCAGGCAACTTACTGAGACCCTGTCAAAATTTTTTTTAAAAAGGCTTAAGACGGGGCTGGGAATTTAGCTCAGCAGTGTAAGTGCCTACCTTGTAAGTGTGTGGTTGTGAGTTCAATCTCTGGTACCGATAAAAATGAAAAAGACCCAAAAAAAGGCTCAAGACATAGCTTTGGGTTCCCTAGGTTCAACCCTGAGTCCCATAAATTTTTTTCCATAAATAAAAGTAAAACAATTAACTAGAACAGCTGGAAAAAGGTTAATTAGCTTCACATCTTATTCTGTATAATACATACGTAAACATTAAATGGATCAGAGATCTATCTGTGTGTGAGAAAAAACTCTGAAAATACCTAAAGAAAACATCAGCACATTTTCTAGGGTGTGGATTTGTAGAAAGTCTTATAGAAAAGATTTCCAGCTGAAACTCAGAACCCAGTCCACATAAAAACATTTTGTGGTTAAAAAAAAAAATAGTGCATAATATAAACCTGTCACCCTTAAGTGCTAAGTGGGAAGAAACAGGCTCAGGCTTAGGTTTTGCTGTGTTGCCAGGCTCATGTTTAATAGTCCCACTGCTTCCTGCTCTATAAGCTGGGACTTCAAGTCCGTTCCGTTCTGCTCAACTTGACCAGTTTTTTCTCCTTGTGTTCTGGGAATTAAAACCAGTCTTGATTGTGCTAGGCAAGTGCTCTACCAGCCTCTTGACAATTTTAACAGCTGCATTTCTAACTGGAGGCCTGGGGTTGGACAGAACTATTTCATTTTATATTACTGAAACTTTACTTGTTTGTTTATTCATTTTCCAAACCATTTTATTTCAAGGAGTAAAAGAAGAAAAAAACTAAAAAGAATTTTAAAACCGTGTCTATCAGGGGGCAACAGTAGTACATCCATTGTGCATTTGTCATCCTCAAATCATTCACCTAGAGCATAAGACATCTGCATTCACTTGTCTGAACAATACCGGCATAAATATTTTTCTTCAGTGAACTTAGAGAAATGAGTAGTATAAATATCTTAACTGTTTTTATATACATATATTTATGTACACATATTGTTTTAGCTTCTCACACTGAGACAATACTTTTTACACTTGTGTGTCTTATTTCACAAATGAGTATGATCTCAAGTTGTACCTATTTATCTATAAAAGTGTCCAGTTTATCCTTCTTTATGGCTGAGTATCACTACATATATAAAAATACTACAGCTTTTTTATCCATTCCTCAGTCAGTGGGCATTTAGGTTGTTTCCAAGATCTAGTTATTACAGATTATGCTGTTATAAATCAGAGTGTACATATATCACAGTGGTATGCTGTTTTTAATTTTGGGGGTTACCAGGAATTGAACTCATGACCTTGCACTTGCCAGGCAGGTGCTTATGTCACTGAGATATATTCCCAGCCCAATGTTTTCAATTTTGGGGGGAAGATACCCTGAAGGGAAATAGCTGGGTTGTATGATATCTCTAATCTTAGTTTTTTGAGGAATCTTCACACTGATTTTCACAGTGGTTGCACCAGTCTGCATTCCCACCAGCAGTGGAGAAGGATTTTTTCTTCCATAGCCCCTCCAGCATTTGTTATTGCTTGATTTCTTAATAATAGCCATTCATTCTGGGGTAAGGTAGAATCTGTGGTTTTAAATTTGCATCTCTCAACTGATCAGTGATGTTGAATTTTTTTTACGTATTTATTTGCTGTTCATATTCCTTCACCTGAGAACTATGAAATCATCACAGATGCTCATTTGTGGGTTGAGTCTTTAAATCTGGGAGGACTGATTTTTATTTTTCTTCAGTCCTTTATATGTTCTCAATAGTATTCCTTTGTCCGAGGAACAGCTGGCAAACATTTTGTTCCATGTTGTGATTGTGTCTTCACTCTGCTGGTGAATTCTCTTGCTATTCAAAAGCTTTCAGTAGGGTGAGATCCCAGTTCTTGTTTCTTTGCGATAGTTCCTGTGAATCAGAGTTTTGTTCATAAAGTCTTTGCCTCCACCAACGTCTTCAAGAGTTTTACCTACTCTATCTTCCAGCAGATTTAATGTTTCTCTCTTAATATTAGGATCTTTGATCCATTCTGATTTTAGCTTGTTACATGGTGAAAGATATGGGTCCAGTTTTAATCTTTGGCATATGTAGAGTCAGTTTATCCAGCACCATTTATTAAAGAGGCTGTTTCTTCCAGTGAATGTGTTTGGTACCTTTGTCAAAGATAAATGGCTCAGTGTGTCCACAGTTGTTGTTGCATCTTCTGATCTGTTCCACTAATCTTCAGGTCTGGTTTGTTTTTTTTTGTTTGTTTTGTTTTGTTTTGTTTTGTTTTTGCGCCAGTTTTTATCACACTGCTTTTATCACAATAGCTTTGCCATTTTTTATCACACTTATCACAGTAGCTTTATAGTAAAATTTCAAGTCAGGGATTTTGATGCCCCCTGTCTTGTGTTTGTTGCCCAGGATTACTTTCACTGCTCTAGGTCTCTTCTGGTTTCAGATGAATTTTAGGATTGTTTTCTCTCATTCTGTGAGATATGCTATTAGAATTTTGATTGGGATTGCATTGAATCTGTGTAACAGTTTTGGAAGTATGGACATTTTCACTATATTGGTTCTTCCTGCCCAAGAGCATGGGATTTCTCTCCATTTTCTTTTATTCTTTGCAATCTCCTTTTTCAAAGTACTATAGTTTTCAATGTAGGGGTCTTTTATATACTTTTTTGGGTTGATTCCTAGGTATTTACATTTTTTGGGTGCCATTATAAAAGGTATTGTTTTCCTGATTTCTGTCTCAATGAGTTTATTATTTGTGTACACAAAGGCTCCTGGTTTTTGAGTATTGACTTTGTAGCCAGCTATGTTACTGAATTTGCTTATTAAATCTAGAAGTCTTTTGATGGAGTTATTGGGGTCTTATAAGTAGAGTGCCATTCATCTGCAAGTAACGATAATTTAACTTCTTCCTTTCCTAACTTTATTTCTTTTATTTCTTTGTCTAATTGCTCCAGCTAGTTTCCAGGACTATGGTGAATAAGAGGGGAGACAGTGGATATCCTTGTCTTGTTCTTGATTTTAGAGAGAAAGCTTTCAGTTTTTTTCCATTTACTATGACGTTGGCTGTTGGTTTGTCATAGATGGCTTTTATCAAATTAAGATGATCATCTGTTCTAGTTTTCTGTGGGTTTTTTTTTTATCACAATTGGGTGATGGACTTTGTCAGAAGCTTTTTCTGCATCTATTGAGATGATCATATGATTTTTG